GTATTACCAAGTAAATCTTCCAAATTTATATCTTTTTTAGATTTCAACTTCTTTTTCTTTTGGTCCTCAGACGAGCTAACGGACGCCTTTGGAACTTTTCTTTTAAGAGATTTCTTCTCTTCAGATTTATTATTATCTTCTTCGATCTCATTACCATTTTCAACATCTTCCTTTGCTTCATTAGGAGGAATAGCAATCTGTGAGAAGTCAATGCCCAAATGAGAGAATTTTTTATTCAAACTTTTAAGTTTCTGAATTTGCTTGGCCGTCCGTTTTTCAAGGTTTTTCTGTGACCAGTCGTTATACTGTTGCGTTTTACGTTGTATAGATGCGGTTGTACTAGAAACCCATTTCATTTTGCCAGACTGAGTACATGTAAACAGGAAATAATATATGATTAAATTCATATAGCGCGCTTTTTATTACTGCGTTACCTTAGTTTTAACTTGACGTACTGTGCTCCTGAAATAATTGTATTTCTGCTCATCAGGAGGTATGTAGGCGGCCTTAAGCACCTTCTGGAACATCAAATAATTATTCATAGTTTCTGCAGCCACTTGAGCTACTTCGGGATGTCTAAATTCAACGAAAGCATAACCCTTACTCCCGCCGGTTCGTTTCGAGCGCACCAGTCGTAAACGGGTAACATCGCCAAATTGTGAAAAGTAATGTCTCATTTGTTCTTCGAAAAAGCCATGTGGTAAATGCTTAATAAATACAACTCCACGATTCTTAATCGGTTTACTAGCTCGTTTTTGTTTTTTTATCTTTTTCTCTAACTGTGAAATGTAAAAATATTCATAAATGCAGTTACACGGAATATACAATTATTTTGGAATTTCTCTTGCAGAATACCTGGCCAGATACCACTTTATCTTCCGCAGAGTTTCTGCTGGACTCTTGAGATGGTTCAGGAATTTTCGGGGGTTTATTCCTTTTATACGGCGGCATTTTTATTTAAAGTAAATTATTTAATAAAATAGTCACCAAGCGACACAAACTTGCCTTTACACGTGATTCAAACTGTAGCTACTTTGTAATAAATAGTACGAAGAGCACAAAGTTGTATTTTGATGCACTTTACAACAATTTTTAAAAAGCTGACCCGAATATATATGTTTTTCAGTGAATTCGTTTTTATCGTCCCTAAATAAACGTTCATTTATGATGATACTCTGCTTATCACATAAGAAGATATGATATTTTCCACAACTCATATGTAAATTTCTATACAAAATTTATAATTCTAATAATAAACAGCAACACAAAATACGATATTAACGGCACACCCTTGTGGTTGCCATAAATCCCTGAAAAGATTTGTTTAACTTAAGCCATGACAATAATGGTTATAATTTTGAGTCAACCTATGCAATAGGAAGCGAACAAATTCATTAATTTGCTATATTTTAACGCGTGTGGAGAAATAGTGCTGTCTTAAAACATACGCATTAAAAGCGAAGCTATTAAATAAAAAATTTCTGATAATAACAATGCGAATTAATGGACATTGATATTGAACATCCAGTGAATTATGCTTAGAAAATTAACAGCTGCTAGGCTAGACAAAGGAATTTAAGTTGTTGGTGGATAAATGTGATTCTAGAAAAAAGGGTGTGAAAAACTACATTCTATAAAGCATTGTAGTTTTATGCATAGTGAAAAGGCAAGAGAAAAAAAAGTATCAGACAGTGCCATAAAAATACACGGAAGCATTTTTACGAAAGAAAATTACGAAATAAAATTTTTTTGGCATTTTATAAGAAAAAAAAAGCAACTTTGAAAATATCATTAAAAATTGTGTAAAAAAGTCCGTTATAAACAAAAGAAAAAATATGTCAACACAACGCATTAATGCAGCTGAAAAAGATTTAGAGAAATTTATTAAATTTCTCGCACTTAAGTCTACACAGGTGGTCGTTCAGTCACGTTTAGGCGAAAAAATGCAAACGAAATGTAGCCCTCTCGCTGGCAATGATTGGTTTAATATTGTCGTAGAAGATCATCCAGATGTTTATGCAGAAACGAAACGAGCATTAGCTTTGCAACCGGGAGAAACCATACTGCAACGCTTGCCATTATGCATTGAAATATCTTTAAAGACTTCCGAAGGTGATCAAATGATATTGGAGGTATGGTCTTTGGATTTGCAAACGCCAGCCCAACTAAGGCAAAAGGATAACGATAAAGGCGATATTAATGGAACAAATGCTACTTCTGCTGGTTCGGAACAACAATGTTTAAAAGCGGCTCATGCTATTTACAATCGTATGGGTATACTATTAAAATCTCTCATATCTTTGACACGAGCTACGCCGGCTTATAAACTATCAAGGCGTCAATGCTCGGATTCGTACGGTATTTACTATAGAATCTATGTTGATCGACCGCAATTGCATACACTGGGAGAAGGCCACAAATCAGTGCGTATCGGTCAGTTGAATACGATTGTTGGTAATCTTGTAATGTCGGTAGCCTATCGCACGAAAATGACTATAACACCTACGACAACAGCCGTGCAAACTCGTACTCGTGAAATTAATACCATAATGATAGACTCGAATCACTTTAGACCATCTGATGCCACACCCAAGGATAAATATACTAACGGTTTAAATATGAAAAAAGGTGTGGGCGGCGGAGAAGGTGAACGCAAAATAATCGATATCGAAAAGCCTTTACGTCCTGGTCCTTTTACAGACGTCGCAAAACTACGCCAATACACCGAAGAAGATTTTATATTGCCTGAAACGCCACCATTTGAATGGTTACTACGTAAACCGAGACATGAAAGCACAGGTAGTGGAGGCACAGGAGGATCTATTGAATCGCTTAATCATAAATGCGATTCGCCCGCAACGCCTCCGCTAGGCAATGGCCATCAACATAATATTAACAACAATGCAAATACTAATAACAATGGCAGCAATGCAAACAAAAACAATGCCGTAAACTCTTTAAAATGTGTTGAGAATAGTGAAAATGCACAGCAATCAATACAACAAAAATCGCCCGCCAACTCGACACACTCACAATCACCTGTTAAAAGTCTATTTGTGCCTGTACCACCGGCCACGCGTCATAGTTCAGCCCCTCATTTACCGCATGCTCATCAGGCGGCAGCTTATTCGGCAGACGATAAAAATTTACTGAAAGAATTAAATTTTCCTTTTGCATCGCCCACGTCACATGTAAACGATTTGGCCAAGTTTTATCGTGATTGCTATCATGCACCACCTTTAAGCGGCTTGAGTGAATTGCAAAATGAAACTACAACCAGCACAGCCGCAACATCGAATACCGACGATAACGACGATGCCGCAATAACGAACAGCGGCGACGACGGCGCACCAGTTGGCGATGTCTCCACAGTCGATGATCTTTCAAGGCAACTTGCACAATTTGAAACCTCATTGGAAGACTACGATAAACTTGTTTCCCAATTTGCCACACTAACCACGTCATCGTCAACAGGCAGCCGTAGTAGCAATGGTCTGCAAATGAGTAACTAAACTATATATATATATATATATATATACATATGTATTTATATATGTATGTATATATAAATATTGCCAAATATGGAGAAAAATAACATGAAGCGGAAAACGGAATCATGAATTCATGAGAAAAAAAAAAAACGAAACAAAACAGATAAATGTAATTAACAACAAAAGGTACTGAAACTAATTTATTTGTTTATATCTAATTAGTTGTCAAGAATTTAGAATGCGTACAGCAATAAATAGGTTTAGTTAAATTTGTTTGTTAATTTTTTGTAGGTAATTATTACTATATATATATTTTTTGAGAATTTATTATAATTTATGTATATATACATATATATATATATATATATATATATATTATACATTTATATATGTGTATATGTGTATGAGCATTTGAAAGCATAAGTGACGTATGTATGTATGTATCGTTTAAAGCTGCAATTCATTAAATTCCACTCTTTTTTTTTTTTTTTCTTTTTAAATTCACAGATTCATTCATATATTTGTTCGATTTCCTCTCAAAACCAGTTTTACATTTATTTTCCTACAAAGCAATTGACTGAATATTATTTGCACATATTTATGTTATGTTCATTTGTTTGTGAGTGTGTGCGCTGTAAAATATATATTAAAACATCAATTATTAAGTGGTTACTTGAGATATCACTAGGCTCTTGCAAAACACTTACAAGAGTCTCTGTTCGGTCTAATCCATTAAACAACAAGCTGGCGAACTAATAGTATTTTACTCGCAGTAATGCGAGAAAAATGTAAAACTTAAACAGATATATTTGGCTTGGGGCGAAATCTTAATTATCCACTACTTTAGATAAACATGTACAGTCGCTTTTTTCTTTCTTCTTGTAAAAGTTACGCAGAATTGCTCTCAATACTGGCGCTACAATCAAGGCCAACAGGCCAAATGTGAAGTGGTTTAAAGTAGGTAGCAAGTGAAGCAACAATAACAACAACAGCGATCACAAGTACAACTTTAGTTTATTACTACCATAAATGAGTAAAACAAGTAGAAGGGAAGAGGAATTCCATAATCGACCCTCTACTCCCTGCGTTTGCCCTTCTTTTCGTCGCTTAATCAAATTTAAGTAGGATGACATTCGATAGTAAACACACTTTAGATTCACAAGCTTGTTGTGACTACTAAGTTAAAGGGCTGGAGGGGTTTTCCTTCTTTTCTACTGCGAATAACTTTACAATTCGTAATGTTTTAAAAAAAATCAATTTCTTTTCTTGTTGAACCATTTTTTTCTCTAAACTCACATCCAGCGAAAAATGCATTTTTATAAAAATATTAATTTTCCCACCTAATTATCTTTACTTTGCTTTATGGCATTCATTCAATCATTCATGTCAGTAAATGATAATTCATTTCCTAACGCAAATAGTGGTTTATGGTCGATTGCAATCGAAATTGTTTAAACGGTGATAATAACCGGAACAACCATTTTTCTGGTTAAATGAAATAAACGTCTCTCTCCTTGCCTTCGTTTCTGAAAAGCTTCATAGCAGCTTTCTCATCATGAATCTAGAATTTGTTAAGTAAAATAATTAAACAAAATTTAATTCGTTGCTATGGCAGTCAAGTTAAATATGGATTGATATCGCATCACAAACCTACCAAACTAAAGTACAATGGAAATGCGTCGTATAAAGTGAATAATTGTCTCTGTTACTTTGTCACACGATGAAAGAAGCGGCAGAATTCTTATGATTCTTCTTCACAGCGATTTTAGCGTACCGGCAAAAAGACGATCCGTTTCATCAAAGAATCCGTTTCGGCAAAGTCGTACGCCATGCTTTTGTGATATCAACGATTCGGTTTTTTAGAAATAAACAAATTTATCGAAATGAAAATATTACCATCTCTTTCTCATGGTCTATCTCTGCCACGAAGAAAGTTTCGAGTTCGCGGATTTTACTAAAAAAAAAACAAGACGAAAAAAACAATTTTAAAAATAAAAAGCTGGCAGCTTTGAATGAATGGACCTTTAAGGTCTTCCTAATGCAATTATACAAACAGTGTATTGGAAATATAAAAGGGAAGGACCTTTCACCTGTCTGATAGTGCCCTTTGCAGTGGGCTCTTCTATATTTTTCTGCTTTTGTTCTCTTTGTCGCATATTTCTTTCCTGTTTTTTTCGTGTTCCGATTATTGGAGTCAGACTTGAACACAATTGTTAGTTATAATCTATTTTTACACCCCTCACCGAAGGATAAGGGATGTATTGACTTTCTCAAAGCATTTGCAACGCGCAGAAATAAGTTTCAGAGACCCCAGAATGCATATACATTCTTGATCAGCATCAAAATCTCAATCGATTTAAGCCTGTTCGTCTGTCTGTCTGTCTAATGGCTGCCGTCTCCTGGCCGAAAAAACGTTGCAATTCACTTCAAAAATTTTGGAAGTTCTTTCACGCAGGTTGGTTTTAAAAAGTGATCCAAATCGGTCGAAGGACACGCCCATAGTACTACATAAAGTGAGAGCACCTTCATTTTTCAAAAGGAATAAAAATTGATTTTTTGAAACTTACCCATAAAGTATAGCAGATAAATGTACAAAAATTTGGACACATATTTTATCGGCGATGCTGAAGTATTTCTAAAAAAATGGAAGAAATGGACTGCCTAGTCAATCTTATAGTGTGTCACCATTTTATTCTTTTTCGGAGCCTTTATAACGCACAGTTCTTCGCCAATTTTGAATTCGGAACGCATCTAAGCATGTTCGTCCGTTCATCTATCCGTCTGTCCGTCTCCGTGTAACATCTCTGGTAAACATTCCCGCGTTCGCAAATAGGACGATATCATCTTACACAAGACAACTTACAAGAGAATTTGAAAAGAACTCAAAGAGCACGTCTTCAACACGTCCACACGCGTATGTAATCAAAACTGTGAGCACTTTTGCTCTCCCGTGAAACTGTGACTTGTTGTGAACTTCTTGTTTGTTACTCATAAAATACATAAAATTTCCAATAGAGAAAATCCAATATTGTAGGGAATGAAAATTTAGCTCTTTCCCCTTTTTTTAGGATCATGTTGATGGCTATAAGCTGGTTTTAGTTGAAGTTTCTTTTTGTGCTAATGATTGCTATTCAAACGAAGTCGAAGATTGCCATACTCGTCTACTGATTTCTGCAAAAACGATCCTTCCTCTCTCGGATTATCTCAAATTCTAAAATTGAACCGAATTTTGTAGTTGAAATTTGAAAAAAAAATGGAAGGTGTTCATTAGTTAAAAGTTTATTTTTCGTTTGCTTGAAACCAAGAGACACTCTTTGTTTAGCTTCGATAATAGAAAGGGCTTGAAAAGCTTTTAGAAGATGATTTGACCAGCTTTTCCTCACTTTCATTTCCTTGATGCCATTCTGCAAACCGTGAACAAGAGTAATTATTATCTGTAGTTTAAAAAGGAGATGTAGGACTATCCACTGTGCAAGCGAGAATCGAAAGGTACGACTGCAATCGCCCGTAGTAAAACTTACTCAAGGAGGTGCTATCCGCTACGATATTCAGATTCCTCTCTAACTAACAACAATAACTTACTCTACGTTCTCTGCTCGAAGATGTCGAAATTTTTACGATTAAGAGGTAGATTAAAGTAAATTGCAGACAACTCTGATACGATTATGAGAAAAACCATTTAGCTCAAACTATGTCTTGAAGATGATTAGATATGAAAAATATTGCGAAAAACAACTATCTGCTGTTTTCACCAGGGGTATACGAGGGAAAAATTCTTTCAAATGCTGTTCTCCAATTAACGTACTTTGCGCTTAGTCCCATGTTTCTTTTTTCCTCCACGTTGAAAGCAAAAATAGAAAGATGTTTGGTTAAAAAGTTTTGGGTTTGAATCGAGACAAGCCAAGCAAGTCCGTATTGAAGTGGGGTAGAAAAATAAAGTGCTCTAAGTAACGTAGGAGCAGATCAGAGAAATGACTTTCTGAACCAACAGCGTCTTAGTACCAATCGTTTAATGAGGATCGCGAGCTAGTCAAAGACTAAGCTCGTTCAGGAAGACCTCACTCCCCCACTCAGCTATTGACGCAAATACCAAGAAAATCGAAGAGTTTGTGCTTGTCAAAGAGAGACTTTGTAGATATTGTTCTTTTTCACAGCAGCCGTACGAATCTATCAAGCAGATATACACACATCGATATCGTCGCAGCGCGGGTATTTAAAAAAAATGCATACAGTCCAGTACAGTACGATGGGAAAAAAGAATCACTTGTGTGAAAGTACGAAGGAAATAAAAAGCTCCAGATATATTCAAAAAAATTTTCCGGCCTCTCTTCTTCTCGGGGTGTTGCTGCAACAACTAACTTTTGCTTCACTCTGCATCACTGCCATAATTTTACCTGCTGCTCAATTTTTACGCCGGCAACAAGGAGTGCATTCGTTTTTTTTTGCGTTTTTTGGCATTTGATCCCACAATACCATCGTTAGTTTTGGCCTTTACCTCCTAACTTCTTGAGCTCCTTTCACACGATGTTTATCAATGAATCAATTGAAGAGACTGAAATAGAATAAACATGACGGTCAAAGTTCACGGAATATTTGCGGAGTATCGTGGGCGTAACCGCTAGGCCATTTATCGTCCAAAGCCATTTGCTGTCGCTGACCATTTTTATCGATGGCGAATGTCCGCTAAAGATATCCACATCAAATTTATCATAAAAAAAAAGTAAAAACATTGTCGTAGCTACGGTCCACCTTTAAATACCCTACACCACTTAGCTTAATACAGTTATTCATATAGCGACTTTTCAAAATAACGTGTTACAGAGGAGGTGAGGAGTGATCGAAAAACTATTTTCAAGATCGTTCGTCCTTGGCCCAAAACATCGCTGTACGAAATTCCATCCAAATATCTCAAAAGGCTGCGATCTCTAGATTGGAGGAAAGAATGCAAGACGTACAGACGGACAGAGAAGCGTAGATCATCGGTATTATAAAAGATGTATTTTTCTCAAATATTTGTGGGTGTTGCATACATCCGCACAAATGTACCACGAGAAATGTATTATAGAAAAACATTCACAATAGAGTAAAAATAAAACAGATTCACTGCAAGTTTAGTTTACTTTTTTCTTTTTTTTTTTTTTTTTGCAAGT